TTTGAGATGCCCTTTTTTGAGCCAATTATCAGGGATGTACAATAAAAATGGCATCCCTCCTAGAAGCTGTCTTTCCTTAACAAAGATTTTAAAAATTAATGTGAGAAAGGCAGAAGAGTCGAGGATCACAGACTTTCTTAAAAGCATTAGGATGAAGGCCAAGACTCAGGGAAGTCTAGGTTCAGAGCAAAGTGAAGGGTTCACTAAAAGAGATATGGGAGGGTAACCTTGGCCAGCTCAATTTGGCAGGACAGCTGGGGTCTGAATGTCATTAACCATCTGACAGATGCTCAGTGGCCTGAGTTAACTGAATCGATCTCGTTGCAGTTCTCCAAGAACAATTCTGCAAATCACCAAATGAGAGGGGGAAATCTATGGTTAGAGATGGCATTAATTGACATCTTTGATGACATCTCAGCAGAAAAGCAGGTTCAATGGCTGTGGACGGGGCTGATTTGCTCTGGAACAGGCACTTGATGAACCTTGTGAACCCACAAATCTTTCAAACGAACATCCGCAGCCTTGAAACTCCTCACTCTGGACACATGCCTGGGTGGATGTTGTTTATGGATGGACTATGTTGAAATCCTCAAACTCTTTGAAAACACAGTATACTAGTTAGCTTTTCATCATTGTGACAAAATACTTGATGGTAAACAACTTAAAAAAGAAAATTTTTACTTTTGGCTTATGGTTTCAGAGGCTCTAACCTGTGTTTGCTTGTCCTCATTGCTTTGGGCCTGTGGTGGCATGGTACATCATGGTGGGAGCATGTGACAGAGGAGGCCTGCTCACCTCATGTTAAGTGGGATGCAAAGAGAGAAACAGGAAATGGCCAGGGTCCTAATATCCCCTTTAAGGCAATGACCTAACTTCCTTCTACTAGGTCCCACCTCCTAAAGATTCCAATACCTCCCAATAGTGCCACCTGTAGGGACCAGGTCTTCAACACATTTGCCTTTGGGGAACATTCAAGATCCAAACCATAACACCTAGAAAGGCAAGACACATCAGCAACCTTCCCTCCAACTGAAAAAGTATATGTTGCTAATTGCATTTCCAGTTCAAGTCCTCCATCTTGCATAATATCGTGCTTATTTTTTTTTATCAGATCTCTTTTGTTACTCTGCCTAGTGATGTTATTTAAGGTATGTTATAATTTGCACAACCAGACAAGTACCAAGATACTGGCCTGGAAGAACTGGTCTCCTTTTAAGTTGCAAGAGCATCAAAGACATTCCAGAACATTCATATTCCCATCTGTATCCCAGATAAACCCTGGAGCCTCTCTTTAGAGCCTGCTTATCAAACCTAGTTCCTCAGCCTAGGTAGCACTCAAGGACCTATCCAATCCTTTACCCACCACATTCCTTATTTTTTGAGTTTACCTTATTTGCCAATACTGTCCTTTCTTCTCCAATCAACACATCTTCCTTGCTTTTATTATACACTCGGCAATTCTCTACTCTGTTCCCTTGAAAAAAAATCATTGCCTCCACCAGGAAGATTCTCTTCCCCTTCTTTCAACCAGTCCACAGCTGTGACCCACTTCCTCCAAGACTTAGCTTGAAACTCTGTAACTACAGGAAGCCTTCTCAAACCATCCACATATGGCGCATGTTTTTTTATGTAATTTTTTTAAAATTTATATATGACAGCGGAATGCATTACAATTCCTATTACATATATAGAGCACGATTTTTCATATCTCTGGTTGTATACATAGTATATTCACACCAAGTCGTGTCTTCATACATGTACTTTGGATAGTAATGATCATCACATTCCACCATCATTAATTATCCCATGCCCCCTCCTTTCCCTCCCAACCCCTCTGCCCTATCTAGAGTTCATCTATTCCTCCCATGCTCTCTCTCCCTATCCCATGTGATATGAATGAATATGATTCTTAGAATGTTTAACAAGCACATATTAAGATAGAGTGATTTTTCTTAACATAGAGCTTAGGTTGTGGGTATATTTTTCAAATCCAATAAATTATGATGGAGATAAGTACAAGACTCGTAAGTAAAAAGACTGGTCGGCTACCACATCATTTGGCCTCTGCCACCGTTATGCCTGCCATTTTGGCCCCAACCATAACAGGACTTACTATCTGATGAGTGTGAACTCTTTGCTAAGCACCAAACATACCTTACATTATTTGAACTTTAGAAACACAAGCTGCTATTCTATTATTACCATTTTACACAGGGAGAAACTGAGTCCAAGGGAAGTTCAGCAAGTTGCTCAGAATCACATTTACAGTGGACAATCTACTTCTAAAATCAAGTCTCTGGTGTACACATTAGAGAAGACTGAGTTATGAGAAATGAATGGAAGAAGTATGAGAAGGAAAATGCATGAGAAAGAAAAATCCTTGGGTCACCTTTTTTAGAGCTCTATTCAGTCAACTCTCCCTCCATAACTGTGGTGGCTGCGTGTTGGTCTCCCCTCTCTATCATCCCTGCCCAGTGCTCCCTTGGGTTCCAGGGAGGCTCTTCTTTTCCAGCAGACAGGGTTGGCAGCTGAGCCCAATCTAGAAACTGTCCTTGGTAGAAGGAACCCACCTCACTCAAGTTACAGTCCCACTCTAGAACTGGTCAGGCACAGGGGTGCAAAGAGCCACACATCCTGCCTAACTTTGGGATAGCTTAGAAGACCCATCCCAGCTTCAGTGCTTCCTGGATGCTGGCTGAGGCCTCAGAGACAATAGCCCAGCTCCATCTCTCCGCCTGCCAAGTTCTGCTGTCCTCCTGACTTTCTTACATTTGTTGTTTCTGAGAAGTCTCCCTAAAAATCTCCTGCTGTTAAGACTCTCCATCTGAGCCTATTTATTGGGGACCTACCTGAAAGCATGAACCAACAGTGAGAAAGTGGGGATCAGGGTCCACAACTGTGTTCTCACCAACACCAGGAGAGAGAGGATGGGCAGGCACACCCCAACCATTGCTGCGACCAGCATGGCCAAACTAGCAGGTTTTGACGAGGGGCAATGGGAGATTAGAAAAAATAGTCAACACATGCAGATCTTGAAGATAAAACAGCTGGGGTCAGGTGGAGCACTGCTCTCTGATGGAGAAGCAGGTCTAAAAAATTACACCAGCAATCTTTATTATATATGTCTCTAAATCAGATTAAAGACTGTGCAAGCATTATTCTTTGTATTCATGAAATTTACAGAGTTAACAACAGTATGCAGCTATTTCCTCAGTTACATTCTACAGCTGCAATGTGCAGTGTTAGGAGCATTGTGCAGCAATGTTAGGAGCATTGTGCAGCTCTCAAGAAAGTGTATTGTTTAAAGTTAATAATTCCAGGGCAGATTCAGGAGTAGCAGTATTGGTAAATATTGTGGCTATCTTAACAAGGAAGTTCCCTCATTCCCAGAACTTCCCTGCCTGAGAATAAGGTTGAAGCTGATAAGACTCTAGCATGCAGGACATCTCCATAGCAACGGGGCATCCTATGCCATTGCACAGAAACTTTCCCAGTCACCAAGTATGCCACAGCCATGAAGTCATCAGGGACCCCAATCTCAGACACTGGTATCCCAGTCACTGTCACTGCTGTCCCCAAACCACCTCACCCTGTGACAGGCACTGGGAAGTAGGCAGAATCTGCATCTGCTTCCCTCCCACACTGAGGCCACTTTGCTCCAGCCTGTGGCTCTGCTGGTCCCTCTCTCTCCCACCCAGAACCAGAACCTCAATGTCCTCTCCTTCCTCACCTCTATCTCCTGCTAACTCTTGCTTCAGGAAAGGATTTGATGAACTCAGTCACACCAAGGAAACTTAATAAAATCAATGAATTACCATGTGGGATTTAAAATAAACTAATGCTTACTTTAAGTTAAACTAATGAAAGAATATATAGAGCAAAATTCCAGAAACTTGTCATTCAGTAAAACATATACTTGAGCACCTACTATACCAGTGTTAGATAGACAGGGGATAATTTTAGGTTGGGGATGACCACATCAGCCCACTGGAACCAATGCCAATGGGTGACTCCATCAACCCTTGAGACTTGCACTGGCCCTCCACGTCTAGGTTCTGCAAGGGTGCATCAACATTATGCTGACTCTAGGGAGCCACCAACAGCTGATGAATTTCCACACTACAACAGGAACAGACATCTGTGGATAGTTCCCACTACACCCTTAGGACTAAGTAAAAATCTAAAGTCTTTTCATGTGGAGTTCATTTCCATAAAAACAAATAAGCAATCAGCTCTTCTTCTGTTCAAGTCAAAAGTACACTAACAGCTCTTTTTTCCCCCAAAAAATAGTAGAAAATGGTTCAAAAGAGGCAGCACCCTTCTCAATTCAGTCTCCCCTAATATTTAGCAAAGGGAATGTTCATAGACTTTTCTACAGGTTCAAGATGAAGGGCACACAGGAAAAATTCACCAGGGGGATTTTCCTATAGGGTATATACCTTATCTAAATGAGGCATTATGTCCACTGATAAAGAAAGAAAGGAGACTCTACTTCTGACTTTCTCATGTCTCAGAAGTAAACACTAGGGCTGCTACTTGTCCTATCACCTATTTATATATGAAGTTATGAGATAGCAGTCTCAGTGGGATAAGCAAGACATTAGATTAAAGGACCAAGAATTTTAATTGCTGTTTTCTACTGTAATCTTAGAAATCCCCTACTTTTTCCTTAAACCTCAGTTTAAAAGAGGGAGGAGATTAGTCCAGGTTCATGTCACATCCTGCTATCAGGCATAATTAATAAGGTACACAGAATTGTTCATTAGGAATTCCCAAAGATATATAACCTCTCTCTTTGTCAATATAAATGCAGCTTTTTTTAAACTCTGATAGACACATTTTCATTTATACAAATGTTTGATTTTTCATACTTAGATGAGAATTCTTCATATACCCATACATACCGGGAAAACTATAGTCAGAAAATACTGTGAAGGATGACTCACCTGTGATGATGAAAGGGACTAGGAGGCGTGATTTAAAGCTCTGGGGTCAATTACCTTGATATATTGCCACAGATGACTGAGCACGGCTGGGTGTTGTGCAAGTACCCAACTGCTTTGGACACTCCTATTAATATACTGATTCGAATGTGCCACGAGAGTGCAGCCGTGTTACCCTAAAAGAAACAAACATCATTGGGTTTCATTGCACTTTCTGAGTACAAGCTATCTATGTATTCATGACGTGGAAGCAGGCTACAATACAAGCAGGGGTGAAGCGGGGTGAGGGGTGAATTAACATTTTGGCTTATTACAACCTATTTTTAATTCCAGATGTGTTTCCTGTACTACCAATAATTGTTACAGGTCTGTCTATAGATGATGGAAATACCACAAAATTTTTATTATTAACTTAATCAAAATATAGCTAGTGGACTGGGACTGGGGGTGTAGCTCAAGGGTAGAGCCCCTGCCTAGCATGCAGAAGGCCCTGGGTTGATCCCCAGCAGCACAAAACAATGACATCAAATGTGGCTAGTAAGATGATGCTGTTTAAAAGTTCATTAAATAAGATTTTATTTGTGGCACAATAGTGTAGGTAATTGAGAATAATCTGCTTTTATTCTCATCCTAACTGAAACTTAACCTATTTGGAATCAATTTTTAGATTTACCCTTTCAAAATATGAGAAATTACAACATATTTAACTTCTTTCCCTTTAAGTAGTTCATATCACTTTTATGTCTATCCTTGGTATTGAAAGATACTTCATATAAAGTTATGCACATTAAAATTATCTGAGAAGGATACAATATCTCTATTTTTATGTGGTGCTGAGGATCGAACTCAGTTCCTCCTGTGTGCAAGGCAAGCACTCTACCACTGAGCTACAGCCACAAGGGAGAGAAATGAATTACAGTAGATGGGATAGAGAGAGAAGATGGGAGGGGAGAGGAGGGGAGTGGGGATAGTAGAGGATAGGAAAGGCAGCAGAATACAACAGTCACTAGTATGGCACTATGTAAAAACGTGGATGTGTAATCGATGTGATTCTGCAATCTGTATACGGGGTAAAAATGGGAGTTCATAACCCACTTGAATCAAATGTATGAAATATGATATGTCAAGAGCTTTGTAATGTTTTGAATAACCAATAATAAAAAAATTATCTGAGAAATAAGGGAATGTAAACTCACTCAGGGTATAGAATCAAGGAAGGATGCAACAAATCTTTTGACTACAACCCTGCACAAAACCCAGTAAGTTGGGTGTTTATGCAACCTTCCAGGAGTAAGAAATCAACTGGGGGAGTAGCCTTCTCACTCCTGGGGAAGCCCATTGGTGGTGATTCTTTCAGATACCCCCATCTGGCCTCCCAGCTTCCCCAGAAGGCTGTGGCAGCTAATCCCCAGGCCTTAGAGGGTCAGAGGACAATGGCAGATGTGACTTACTACACACTGTAATCTGTCAAAAAGTGTTCCATTCCTCATATATGGATAAACCAGGCAAAACTTCTCAGTCTCTGTAAAATACGCAGTCAGCTCCAGTATGTTCGGATGACGAAACCTTGAAACACAAGATTTTTAAAGCCATCAAACTGTTTATTCAAATAAATCATGAGAATACTTTGGAGTGGCAAGAGGAGTGGGGAATGAGACAAAAACATATAAATTCAGCCAACAGAAAAGTAATTTCAATGGACACAGACTTGCTTTCTAAATTGGTCTATGGAGTTCAACAAATACTACATAACTCTTTTCGACTATTATCATGCAAATAAAAATAAAATTTCCAAATACAAGGCAGAAATTTTAAAAAGTAAAATTTTCTTAAGATCTGAGATTTTGGAAATTTTATAAAAAAAATAGACAACACCGATATTAATTTATTTTTATCTACATGAAACAAAATGTGGCTATTAAGTAAATAGATAAAGGTAACGCAACTGGAATTGTTCATTTGACTGATTTAAGTACACAAGTGTAAGTCAAGTCACCCAAATATAGGAGTACAGAAGACCGTTCAAGTATCTATTGAGCTCTGCTAGGTCAGATGCTGGGTTACACAGACCAAAAGAGACAGCACCTACTCTTCACAAAACTTGCACTGTTATCAAAAATCCACAAAACGAGTAAAGTTCGATGTTGAAAAATATATCATTCAATTTAAATAACAGACTTTTATATCCCTATAGTATATATTTCTCAGGCTCCTTTCATAATTGATTAGGCTACTAATAAAAATTCTAGTATAAGAGAAGGCTTCCCTTAGTAACATCATTGCTACAAAGAACAGTGGAACCCAGGTAACCACTATCAACATAAAACATGTGAAGCTCACACACATTGCAAACTCAGTTTAATCCAATCATTTTCTATTGAATACTTGCTATGTCCTAGGCATTGCTGGGATATTAAGATAAATTAAGCTGCAAAAAAATGGTTCTATTTATAAAGGCTTATTATTTGTTTCTTTAGTAAGAGAACTCGTATAAACACACACAACCTATGTATAGGTGTATCTTGTGTGTTCTTTTTATCCTTGTTACTTCAACAAAGGAACCATGCCTGTGTACCTGTGTTCACATACACATACAAAAACATACAGACTTTTATTTTTAAATATGTCAAAAACTTCTATGTTACGAGGTCCTTATACCTATTATGATTCAGACCAAATCTATAAAATGAAAAGAAATGGACTGAAAAGAAAATGATGAGGTATATTTAGCTGCTTAAACAGTTGATCTATAACACTGGTTGGCTGATTCTCCTGCAACTTAAAATTCAAAGAGAAAAATCTTTTGAAAGGCAGCAGACGGCAGACATCATACAGACCCAGTCATGGCCTGGATGTTCTGCTTTCTTGCCCACAGAACAGAAACAACCATTTTCTTATTTTTAAATAGTACTGATCAAGCAGAAATACCGATACTACAGAAGTCAGCAAAAATGGGACCTGGAGACATCATGGAGTCTATGGGCTCAGGCCACCCATCCTTTCTCTACAAATTTTTCAGTCCATAAGTTATATAGATCTGAAGGTCAGTAGTTTTGAAATCAACTCAGCAAGCATCCCTGAATGCCTACTGCAGACAAAATGCTGAAAGTGGCTCCTAGTGTGATACAGCAGACAGACTTGAGTGATAGATTTGATCTGCGCTTGAATCTCTCTGGTCATTTTCCAGCTGTGTGAACTTGGGCAAGTTATTTTGTCTCCCTGTGGACGGTAAGATAAATTATTCTCTTCTTTCCCTTCCCTTAAGGAAGGAAGAGGAGGAGAAAGAGCAGCAGCAGCAGCAGCAACAGAAGTCATATTCTAAGGAGTTTGTAAATTTGTGTAAGTAGTTTCCTCAATACTAAACCTTAAAAACTCCTTTAGGACTTGGCTTAGATGTGCATCTTCCTAGAAGCCCATTCTGCTGCTCACCTTCAAGCTCCCATCCTTTCCTCCTCTATATTTTCTCACATTATCACTTACTTTAGTGAAACTACCCATCTACTTATGAACTTCTCTCCCAATCCCACTTCAGACTGTACAGTATAAGAGAAGGCTTCCCTTAGTAACATCTCAGTGTCTGAGAAGAGGAAGACTAAAGATGATTTAGGAAATAAATTGTACCTCGTAGAAAATCTAGGATTTTCCTGAGTTTCCTCTTCTTCAAAATGGGGATCTATAATAGAATTTATCTCATAGGATTGTTGTGAGAATTAATGCATTAATACACATAAAGCACTTGGAATAGTTCCTAACACTAAATAAATATTAATAAAATGAATAATAATACCAGTACCTCATGAATATTCAACAACATAAATTTAATCCTCCCAAGATTATTTTGGGAACCCAGTAAACACTATCAGGATTGTTTCAAAAGAAACAGACAAGCTGTAGTTCATGTGCAAAATACCTCATCAGATAAACCAAATGGATTAGATATATAAGTGTGAGAAATCAAACTATAAAAGTATTAGGAAAAAATGGGAGGATTATTTTATAACCGTTTAGTAAAGACAGATTACCAAAAAAAAAAAAAAAAACTTAGAATCCACTAAAAAGGATAAACTCAACTACTATAAAAATCATTTCTACTTGGAAAAAAGTAGAATAAGCAAAGACAAAATGACAGTATGGTAAAAATAATTTATATCTAATATTGTAAAAATAGTCTAATTTTTTCATATATATATATGAGTTGCATATATATATATTGTATTTTATACACACACACACACATACAAAATCTTCCTTCAACCCATTAAGAGAAAAACTAATAACCTAATTTTTTAAATGGTCAAAGGATGTTATCAGATATTTTGTGAAAAAAAGGAGGTATATATTTTTTAAGGATTGTGATTCTCACTCAGAAAAAGGAATTGAAACTACACTGAGATCTTTCTCTCTAGAGAAGGCTCAAATAAGTTTATAAACAAAAGAGAAGACATTGCAATTGATACCACAGAAACAAAAAGTATCATAAAAAACTATTATGAACAGCATGTGCCAACAAACTATAACTTAGAAGAAATGGATCAAATCCTAGAAACCTACAGTGTACTAAGACAGAATCATGAAGAAACAGAAAATCTGAACAGACTAGTGATGATGGAGATTTATTCAGTCATCAAAAGCCTTCCAAAAAAGAGAAAAAGAAAAGGAACAGGAGGGATTCAGAGGTGAATTTTATCAAGCATTTAAGGTGAATTATATCAAAATCTTCCCAAAAATTGAAGAGGAGGAAACATTTACCAATTTGCTTTACTAGGACCAGCATTAATTACCCTAATAACAAAGGACCCTACAAGAAAAGGAAATTACAGGGTCAACATCACTGGTGACCATACATGCAAAACTTCTAGCAACCCAAATGCAATAGAAAATTAAAAGGATCATATACCATGACCAAGTGCAGTTTAACCTTGGGATTCAAGAATGATTCAACATGTGCAAATCAACACATCATCCATCACCTTAGCAAAAAGAAGGAGGAAATTCATATGATCGTTTCAATAGATATTGAAAAACATTTAACAAAATTCAATATCCCTTCACAATAAAACTCTCCACAAATGAGGTACCAAAGGAATGTACTTCAACATAATAAAGGCCATATAGGATAAGCCCACAGCTAACATCATACTCAGTGGTAAAAATATGAAAGCTTTTTCTCTAAGATCAGGAACAAGCCAAGGATGTCCACTCTTGTCACTTCTATTCAACATGGTCCTGTATATCCTATCTAGAGCAATAAAGCAAGAAAAAGAAATTAGAAATATACAAATTGGAGAGGAGGACATTACATTAGCTGTTCGCAGATGACATGATCTTACACATAGAAAACCCTAAAGAGTCCACTAAAAAAACAGTTAGAATTAATGAACAAATTCACCAGATTTTCCTGATATAAAAATCAACATACAAAAGGCATAACGCTTCTATACAATAGCAATAAACTATCTGAAGCAGAAATTAATAAAATCTCCCATTTATAATAGTATCAAAAAGAATAATACACTGAGGAATCAATTGAACCAAGGAAATGATAAATCTGTAAGACAGTGATTAAAGAAATCAGACACAGTAAATGGAAAGATATCAAATACACAAGAACTGGAAAAATTGTGAAAATACATATACCACCCAAAGTGATCTACAGATTCAATGTAATCCCTATCAAAACTCCAATGACTTTTTTACAGAAATAAAAAAAACAATTCTAAAATTCATATGAAACCATGAAAGACCCCAGTCAAAGTCAATTTTGAGAAAGAACAAACAAAGCCAAAGACATCCGCTCTCCAACTTTAAACTGCATTACTAAGCTGTAGCAATCAAAATAGTATGTACTGTTTTGGAATACAACAGAGCCCATAAATGAACTTATATACATATATGGTCAAACAGTCTTTGACGAGGGTGCTATCATGGTCTAGACATGGTGCCCTCCAAAAGCTCACGTGTGAGACAATGCAAGAAAGTTCAGAGGTGAAATGATTGGGTTTTAAAAGCCTTTACCTAATCATTGTGTGAATCCACTTGAATGGATTGACTGGGCAGTGACTGAAGGCAAGTAGGGTGTAGCTGAAGGTAGTGTGGTCATTGGGGGTGTCCCTTTGGGGTACATGTTTTGCTGAGCTTAGTCTCTGTCTCTCTGCTTCCTGGTGACATGTTCTGAGCTGCTTTCCTCTGTCACTTTCTTCTGTCATGATGTTCTCGGCCTCACCTTGAGCCCTGAGGAATGGAGCTGGCTATCTAGGGATTGAGACCTCTGAAACCATGAGCCGACAAATAAACTTTTCCTCCTCTAATTTGTTCTCATTATGTCTTTTGGTCATGGCTGACTAAAACAGATGCCAAAAATACACAAGGGGGAAAGAAAGGTCTTTTTAATGAATGGCATTAGGAAAATTGGATACCACTTATAAAATAATGAAGTTGGACTTGTCAGACATCATACACAAAAATAAACTAAAATGCACTGAAGACTGAAACCTTTAAGCTCCCAGAAACAGGTACAGGAAAAAAATCTCTCTGACATAGTCTTACCAATTTTTTTATTTTTGATATGACACAAAGAGAACAGGCTTTCCTGTTGCAATTTTATTTTTAAATAAAGAATTAGAAAAAAAAATCTCTCAACAGGAGAGAGGAACAGTATAGCACAGAACATGAAAATGAACAATGTACTAATGCTACCTTTTGTGTAAAAGAAGGGAAATAAAACACAATGTGTGTTTGCCTGTGCATAAAATATCTCTCATACACAAGAAACTAATAACACTTTGCCTTGGAAAAAAATCAGTCTGGTAGTGGTGGAAAAGCTTATCTTCAATTGCTCTTTTATATTTTTTGGAATTTTGAAATGTCTGAATATCATTGTCATAAGCAAATAAATAAATAAAACTTAAATGTAAAAACCTACTATTGCAATTTTGAATCCAGTTCTTTATTGACTAAATGATATCAAGTTTTAATGACTAGCCTCTAATATTTTGATTTCTGGTCTTGGGTATAAAAGGGAGAGAATTCAGCACAATATCTTACTCCCCACCTGCCTTTCCACCCCTCACTTTACATATCTATGCAGAAAACATCTGAAAAGGGCCTTTTCTGTTTATAAAGGGTGATGAGTGAGCTCTCCAGGGGTAGGGGCCTCCACTGAGGATGCACAGCTGCAGATATGAATATAGAGGACAATGAAGTCATTTAAATTTGTCTCTGAGGACTCTTGATTCATGAATGAATTCCCAGAAAATAATATGCACATCAAAAGCCCTTGATTTCTTTGTCTAAAACTCTCTTTCTGAAGACAGTTATACTGAGGAAACAGCTTCTAGACTGGAATGTCTCTGAGGAAGGGGAACAGAGTGCCATATATATAATTCTAATGTTTGAAGAATTACTATTCAGGCATGTTAGTCACACACTATTTAACCCACTTTCTTGTGACAGTTTCTTGTTCAAATATGTTCAAGTGAATTATGTAAATGGTCTATTTTTAAATGTACTTTCAGGAATATACTGAAGCAGATGTCGAAAACTTACAGATTGTTGGAATATCCAACCCCCGTTAATTAAATGCCAACGACGCTAGGCACTGTGCTGTAGAATCAAAGATGAACATAGATGAACCCCAGACAAGAGGGGGGATTCCAGACAAAATATACTCACAGTAGTAAAACTTCAAGCTCAGATAAAAATCTCTTCCAGTGTTTCTTAGATTCCATTTTTTTCTCCTAGATATTATATAGAAAAGATAAAAATAAAATTAAGAAAAGAGTCTCTATTTCTGGGACTCTTAACCCAGAGTCTACAGTTTTCCTGAAATTAGATCAGCTTTTTATTATAAATGCATTTGGAGATTTTTTTCTGAGGAGAAGATCCTTAGCTTTCATCAAATTCTCAAGAATCCATTAACCCTAAAACAGATTTAGAGCTACTGCTTTTGAATTAAATTTTTCATGTGATATATCGTGTTGTCAATTTTTATATTCAAACTCTTTGGAACCATATTTTCACACATTTAAATAAATTCAGAAGTATTATGTGTCTTCAAGGAAAATCCCCTGACAGAAACTTCTCACTTGATCTCACAAAGACTTCAATTTATGTCATCTGTATTATCCTGCAAGTGGTCACTAATCTGATATTTATGAATTTGGTCATTTGGATGTATCAATTCACATTTACCTTTGCACACTTTTGAAGAGATGAGCCTACTAATCAAGTCAAAGTGTGAATTCTTATTACAAACAAGCTTCAGAAGCTAGTCTAGAGCCTGACATGTGAATAAATGAATACTGAAAACAATTAATAAATTCAATAATCTTGTAGTGAGCACCTACTCTGTGCCTGGCATTGTTGTTGATGCCTTCAAACATGTTATGTGGCTGCATATCCCTTGGTCTCAGGTTCCTAAATTCTACCATGAAAGAGTTAAATTAAGTATGCTTCTAGGATGTACAAACTCAAGGTTCTCATTTGCAAACTACTATAGAGGGAAGAATTTTTAGAGTTCTTTTCTCAGAAATAAAATGTACTTTCTGGAAAAATTCTGGAAGCTATTTTCCAAGTAAAATCAGAAACAATAAACTAGGCTAAGAAATCACTGCTAAGAACTACTTTATCAAATTTTATGTCAGCTATCCTGAGCGTCAAGTAGATTTGGTTTGGGGCTCATCCCTACTGATTGCTATTTGTGACTTTCTGTTCAATCACTGAATCTCCCTAAAGTCAAAGTTTTCTTAATCTGAAAAATGAACACTTTTGTGTTTCTGCTAGTATAGCACTCACACTTTGCTGCTTCAAGTTTGGTTTATGCACAAAAATCTTCAACTACACTGGGAGGTGTTAAGAAACACTGAATCTAATACTGGGCTCCTCCTCGGATCTACTCAGTCAAAATCAGTACTGCAAGATGACTAATAGTGACACTGTGCACATGAAAGTTTGAAAAGCACAGCTCTAATACATAAAATTCCTACTTCAGGCCTTCTATGAAAGGTTATTGAAAGCAATGTCCCAGTGTTACAAAACTGCATGTCTTCAAAAAGTGTTCTGTGGCCAAGGCTTCATTAAGTGCTCTCATTTTTCCTGGTAAGTGTATATGAGTGTGTGTGTGTGGAGAGGGGGTGGGGAGTGGCTGGTTGGTTGGCTGCGCTTTAGGTTAGAAGGCAAGCAGAAATAAAAGTAGAGGGCAAAAGTCCCAGAATACTTCCATTTACTACCTTAAGAGGGAGTTAAAATGTAGGGTAGGACCAGGGACACAAGGAGTTTGTACAGTCCTTTGCAGTATCTAGGTCTTATTACTCCTAGTGTTTAGCAACTAAGTTCTTGAAAAGGACATATGGGCTTCATTCGGTTCATCCAACAAACATTTACTGAGCAACCACTATGGAAAGCCCCTAGAATAAGGCCTGGATACATGGACCAATAAGAGTTCTTCAAAAAAAGCCAATTTATCCACTGGGAGAAGCAAATGAAGAAATCAATACTACAAAATAACGGAAACCACACCCAAACCACACTAGAGTGGTAAGAAGCTATGAAGGAAAAATAGTTGTTTGGGAGACAAGAATGAATGGAATATCTACAGGCAAGAACATCCTATTCTAAAGTCAAACTAAGGGAAAGGAAACTCCCCAAAGGAGTGTGATTTGGTGGCAGCTGCAGAGAGAAGATTAGAGAGGACATTTGGGGAGGTGGCCCTGGGGCTCAACCACAAATGGGGCCAAGGCCAGTGACACATGGGCATGAGAAACAGGCTTCAGTTAGAGCAACCACATTTTATGTGTTGAATGGTTTTTCCAGTAGAATTTTTTTTTAGACTCTTCATGTTTACAGGAATTTTGAGATGTCTATATAGCGTTAGTGGCACAAGATGCAATATGGAGAAATGAAAAAAAAAGGTTAATAATTTCTTAAGGCTCTGTTACGTAAGCTACAAACCAGAAATCACTTCAGACCCCACCAGCTCCCTCACTTCCAAGTCCTACCAGTCACTAGATCCATTTCGCCTCTTCTCTTACACATACCTTCTCACCTTCCATATTGACTTAGCCCTGATCATGACAATGGTTCTCAACACCAGCTACACATTTGTACCATCTGGGGACCTTTCAAAACATACTAATGCCTGCCACCACCCATTCTGACTTAACCACTTGCTATGGAGCTTGTTTTTTAAAAGCTCCCTAGGTGATTCTAAAATGAAATCAAGCTGGGAACACTAGTTCAAGTGCTGTCCATCTCTTAGTTTACACATCTAAAATATCCCTCAATCAGGTCTTTCTTCTTTCAGTCTAGTTATAGCCATCTTTTTCCAGGTCCCAGGCCAACTTACAATCCATCACCTACCCTATAATCAAAGTTATATTTCAAAACACAAATCTAAGTCTTTCACTCTTCTACTTAAAAATCCATGTGTTAAAAAGCAGCTAGCAATGAGCAGTGAAGTGCATGGAAAGGCCACAGATGTTCTTTAAATTACCTTAGGGTCTTCTTTAAACTACTTTCAAAGTAGGCAGGAAAGCAAACAGTGGTAGTTAATTTGTAAAAAAAAAAAAAATAAACAAAGCAAAGGAGCCAATGGGAAAATACATCAAAAGAAAAGGATTAATGGGACTAACTCTTGACAGTGTTTGTTGATGTTAATGTGAAGCTAGGAATTATGGCTATAGGTGTCTCCATTTGTCTAGGAATGAAGATTCCTTTAGGAGCTCAGATGCACCAAGGTAACTTCTAACCAGCTATCAACCCCAGTGCCTGTATTAACATGGGACTGACTCGTAGAGGAACCCTCCCTAAATAGGATGGCCACCATGATAGCTCCGGAAAGGATCAACTAAGGTCAAAAACTCCACTGCCTGATATGAAGAAGGAGTTGAACGCCTGACTGGCAAAGAATACAGAAGGTGGTGCCCAATTCTCCTGGTAACATCAAACAGTAATAAATCTGGAGATAGTGTTGTCTCTTTTGTCATTCTCTGCTCAGAGATGGTTCTCTCTCTCTCTCTCTCTCTCTCTCTCTAGTGCTGTCTGCCTAAGCCTCACTTTGCTTTTACTCTACTTTCACTTATAATAAAGTTCTCTTGCATGGCTTTTTGTGTCTGACTTTAAATTTTCTTTCATTGGAACACAAGAACCGAGTTCTGGAATTTTGGTTCCCTGCTTTCCTGTGACACATTCGCTTCACCTATTTTCATATCATTTCTTGCCACTTCCTTGCCACTTCCTTGCCACCTGCACACTCCATTCCACCAAATGAACTGTTATTCACATGTAAGGTACACATGCTTGCAGACACATACCTCTAGACCTCTGCATCTGCTATATTCCACCCAGAATATACTTCCCCTCCTTACTGTTTGCTAAAATTCTACTCATTCTCAAAATCCAGCTGAAAGAGCATTGCCTTTCACCCACTTTACCCACTTTTATATATATATATATATATATATATATATATATATATATATATATATATATATATATATATATATATATAATTTTGTGTGTTTGTGTGTGTGTGTGTGTGTGTGGTGCTGGGGATTGACCCAGGGCCTTGTGCATGCTAGGCAAACACTCTACCAACCGACCTATATCCCCAGCCCTCCATTTCTTTTAAAGAAATGTTTATTGAGTGGTCACTTGGGCCCCATCCTCTGCTGGGTACCAGATGCACCCCTCCTTTGGGTGGTAAGAAATGCAACCTTTAATGTGCTCCCAGAATCTTTTGTACAAATCCCTGTTAAATAAGTACTTCTTTCCGATCAGTTTCACTCTTTTATTGACTTGATTATTTCCCCCCCAAATACTGTGAGCACCTTGAGAACAGAAGTAAGCCTTATTCACCTCTACACACTCAGATTTCCAGGCCAAGATGGAGGTTAGTAAATGTTTCCTGATGCTTGACCAACAGTAAAGAGAATGAAGGTCAGCTCTTTAGTGTGTCTGCCTAGGTAGTTGTCGCTAACTGACGCACAATTTGATTTGCCAATTCCCTCTCTGCTTTACTGGCTACAGTCAATCAACTGTCTTCTAAACTGCTCTGATCATTGGTTTGTAGCTCCTATTTAAAGCCGCTTCTTTCCCACCCTCCTGAACTGTAAAAGAAGACAATTTATAAAGTCACACTGAATGCTCACGTGTGGCACTAAAGCTGCCTGAAGAGCATGCCGCTCACCCTAAGCAAACTGGCACAACCTGATCCTCTTGAACAAAGTCCCAGAGGCCCTACAAGGCTTTTCAGAAAAGTTTTTCTCATGCAATATATCTGGGGATCTGAAGGATTTAATGTCCACATTCCAAAAAGACAGGCATTCATTTCTCAGTCATTTTTCCAGTCACCTGAGCTCATATATCTTATTTCCATTTATGAAATTTTATGTTCAAATACACCTTCTTTACTGTTGATGAAAAATAACACATTTTAATATGAAATATGAGAAAATACATGGAATCAATATTCTGTGATAGTAATTCTTGCCATACCTGTTTAAATAATTTAACAGCGTATGCTCGATTTTGAATCTCCACTCTGTATACCTCAAACATATCCCCTTCTCCAATCAGGAAGTCTTTGTGGAAATGTTTGGTTCCGTCTATGATGTTCTGAAATCTGATGGAGGATTCAAGCAATATTCCTTAGGAAGGAGAGTAGAAAGGGAGAAGATAAGCCACCTTTTCTGAAAGTCAGTGTTGCCATATTGGAAACATGTAAGAGCCAAGGGGAAGGCCAATAGAAGAAGGCCCAAGAACTCAAACTATAGCCTACATTAACTTGGGTCTGGATCTCATCATCCCAAAGAGCAAATGGCATTTTAGGTATCTGAACACTAGTATTGTGGTTTTGTCAACTCTCCAAAGAAATCTGCCAAAGAGAAATTTGGGGAAATTTTTCCAAGATTCTGTTTCCTTATTCTTAGGTCAATGTGTTTCTGTGGAGCCATTATGAACCTAAAACCTATTTAAAAAAAAAAAAAAAAAAAAAACCTGGAAATGAGCTGGTGCAGTGGCACATACTTGTAATCCTAGCAGTTTAGGAGGCTGAGATAGGAGAGTCGCAAGTTCAAAGCCAGCCTCAGCAATGGCGAGGCGCTAAGCAACTCAATGAGACCCTGTCTCTAAATAAAACACAAACTAGGGCTAGAGATGTGGCTCAGTGGTCTAGTGCTCCTGAGTTCAATCCCTGGAACAAAAAAAACAAAAACTCTGGAAATGAGACTCTTCATATGACTAAACAATATTTTTCAAACATGACTGATAGAGATACTTTTCATGAGCCCCTAAATGCCTGACTTATTTCTCAGAACAAATCAGAAAGATGCTTCAGCTGTTTTTATTTTGTTTGTTTGTTTTTATTTTTATTAGTGGATCACAGTTATACATAACAATGGCATTTATTGTTACATATTGATATGTGCATATAATAATATAATATAACAATATAATTTGGCCGATATCACTCCTTAACACTTCTCAACTCTCCCCATGCTTCAGCTTTTTGAAAAATCGCCCAAAGGAGAGATTGGGAAAAAACATTTAAAAGTAATCAAAAGAAAAAAAAGAAAGAAAGAAAGGTTGGCTAAATCTTTCAGAGCCCAATCTTAGCTATATTTCCACAGTTACTACAAAATACTCCCTAAGATATTTAAAGGTGATTTAGAGCTTATTATTAAAGAACTAAAATCTTATTTAACTATTCTAATTTTCTTTCAAACCAGAAAAGCATCAGATCCAGGCAAGGCAGGCTTAAGTAGTCTTCCCAGGTGGGACTAAATTATTCTCCCTACTAATAAAATAGGAGAGTTAATACAGAAAATAACTGGATTTTCACACTGACCTTCAGCATTGCTTTATAATCACCTCAAAAGATCTTTGCAATTGCTATGAAAATTTCTAAAGCAGTGTAAAACTCATCTTAAGTTTTTAAATGTTTTATTATGGTACTTAAAAATGGCAATTTTTACTAACAAAGAAAGACAATAATTATGTTTTTCATTAGCAAATGGATTCTTAAAATAAATGTCATTGATTAGAACTTTGTCAATGAGAATTTTGTCAATCAAAATTGAAACTACTTTTATATCTATGAAAGTTTTATACTGAATCTGAATATAAACAGTTAAGGTATTTATTGGGCATTTCCTCTTCTAAACTCATTTATGTAAAAGGATGATTTTTATAAAGCAAAGTTGTTGTTTATTTGTGTGTGTGTGTGTGTTTTGGGTTTTTTTGTTATTGTTGTTTTGTTTTGTTTTTTACCTTTTTCATTATGTTCAGGTATAAGAGCATCATCCACTGTGACATTGGCTTTTCCCTAAAAGAAAGAATGCACACCAGAGTAATTCCATGTCATAAATCTAGAAAGAACAGAGCCTCAACAGAAATGCAAAGCTCCCTGGGAAACTATACAGTGCAATAGAGTGGAATATAACTTTAAAAAAGCTAATAAAAGCAAAGTTATTTTTACTTTATTCAATAGCATTCATTGCCGTACATTTTTAAAGTTTCCACATTGACTGTAAAAACTCAAGAATCAATGCCATAGTCAGTTATAGTCTATTTAAATGACTTCTAATGCTACAGAAATGAGAACTGCTTATTTGCTCTAATAAAAACTCAAAGCAACATACAAAATACCAACTAGAAAAGGAAAGTTAAAAGTTAAGACAAATGAAGAACTCGTAGTTCTAAATCTCAACTCTGACAGACCACAGATAGGTGAAAGCTCTTATTCTGAAAATATTTATAAATCTCTAATTTCTTGTGTCTTCAATTCAATAAAGGATAATGAGAGTTTTAAGGCATTTCTGTGCCTTAGTTAGGTGCCTGCATAGCCAGCATCTTTCTGCCAGAGAATTTCATTCCTTCTGCTCAACTATATACACAATGGAGTTCAAGGATCATTTTCTAAGCACACGTGATCTACCTTGGATATGTTTGGAAATCCATGCTCCTGATGACTCTGCTCTAAAGAATTCAATCCTGCTCCTGAAAGAGAAATAAAGGGAACCAGATACAAAACAATTTTAGGTCCCAAATGTGATCTTTGTTCCCCTTTCTGAGACTGTGAAAATAAATATTTTGCTAGTAATGTTCATTTTTAAAGTTCAATTTCATTCAACTGTAATGGATGTAAATTTACAAATGTGAAATAGCTTTCTAATGAACAAATATTATACAAACTAACTTTCTTCACTTAAAACATGAATAGCTACTTAAAATCATTGGTAGACATAATAAAATATTAAAGTGCAAAGTAGAAAATTGAAAGGAAAAAAATGTAGAATTGTTACCAGCTTTTTGCACATATATTTTAGATTTTTACAGTTATAAGATTACATCTTCCTGGGTTTGTTTATCTTCTGTACTATTTTGTGTCATAAATGATTAGAGCTGGTTGTGATGATGTTGATTGTGTGTGTGTGTGTGTGTGTGTATTATCAAACACCAACACTCACTACCCCTTCCCAAATAAAGAATTTCCTGTCATTTCTGACATTGTGATTCAGACTTTGGACAATTTTTATTTTACCTTCTAGTTTTGCTTAGCTTGTGTTCTAGTGTTTTTAAAATTGTTTTGCTTATAAAACCAGCACCAAAACATAGTCAATTAATAACACACCTCCTTGAACTACACTATAAATCAACTAGACCTAATTGAGATCTATAGAACATTCTTTCCAAAAATAGAATACACACATACTCCTCCAATGCACACTGAACATTCTCCAGAACAAACCACATATTGGACAAATGTAGTGATCCTTGAAACATCTGGAAGTTATGAAATCATATGAAGTACATTTGCTGACCACAAGGGAATTGAAGTAGAAGCAATAGAAGAAAAATTTAGGACATTCACAAACACATGGAAATTGAACAACAAACTCATAAGTAACCAATGAGTCTAAGAAGAAATCACAATTAAATTATAAAATACATCAAATGAAAATGAAAACACAATATACCAAAACTTATAGAATGCTGAACAAGCAGTTCCTAGAGGAAAACTTATAGCTGCAAATGCCTACCTTAAAAAAGAAGAAATATCTTAAATCAATAGCCTAAATTTCACAGTGAGGAACTAGAAAAGGTACAGAAAACTAAACAGATGCAAGCAGAGGAATGAAATAATTAAGATCAGAGTGGAAATCAATAAAATAAGAGAATTTTAAAAAGAGAAAAATCAATGAAACCAAAATTGGTTCTTTGAAAAGATCTGCAAAATTGACTATTCTTTCGCTAGACTGACCAGGAAAAAAAGAGAGGATACTCAAATTACTAAAATCAAGAACAAAAGAGTAGGTATCACTACTGATGTTACTGAAATGACAAAAATTATAAGGAATACTATGAACAAATAACACTTATGCCAAAAAATCAGATAACTTAAATGTACAGATTCCTAAAAAGACAAGAACTATTAAAACTAACTCAAGAAGGAATAAACAATCTGTCTCTATAATAGGTAAAGAGATCAACTTAGTATTTTAAAAGTTCCACAAAGAAAAGCCCAGGCTTAGATGACTTCACCATTTAATTCTACCACACATTTGAGTTTTACACAAATTCTTTAAAAATACAAGAAGATAGACCAACACCCAAATCATTCAATAAAGTCAGTATTCTAATACCAATGTTACATGAAGACACAGGAAAAGTGCAGTCTAAGATCCTTTCTGGATATAAATGCAAAAGTTCTCAACAAAACACTATCAAACCAAATCCAGAAACACGTAAGGAATACATATTTTAACCAAGTGGGATTTATCCCAGGAGTCTAAGATTTGCTTAACATCTGAAAATTAATCAATGTAATACATCACGTTAACAGAATAAAGGAAAAAATCCACATGCTCATCCTCAACAGACCGTGAAAAAGCGTTTGATAAAATCCAGTACCCTGTCATGATTAAAAAAAAAAAAAAATCCCTAGAACGGAATTTCCTCAATTTGATATAGGACATCTATGAAAAGTCCACAGTTAACATTATACTCAATGGTAAAAGACTGGATATTTTTCCATTAAGATCTGGATCAAGACAGGAATAATGTCCAGTTTTGCAACTTCTATTCAATATTTTTTTTTTAGTTGTAGATGGACACAATATCTTTATTTATTTATTTTTATGTGGTGCTAAGAATCAAACCCACGTGTGAGGCAGGCGCTCTACCACTGAGCTACAGCCCCAGTCCTCTATTCAATATTACACTGAAGATTCTAGCCAGGGCAACTAGACCAAAAAAAAAAATAGTAAGGAAAAGAAGGAGGAAGGACAAACATCTTCAAGTAGAACAGCATTTGAAGTATGGAGGCTGTAAGGGCACTAAAAGTCATTGTCCCCCACTTTTTTTAAAGAAAGATAATACTTAATTGTCATAAAATCGAAGGTTCAAAATGGTTCTTCTAAGAAATCGGTAGAAAGCTGTGGATTTCATGTCAAAACTGGAAAACAACTTTCAATCATTGAAACGCAAATGCAAAATATGTCATGTATGTATGGACAGAAATCTAATAAGTAAAGATTCTAATTCCTTGAAATTTTTGGTTATGTCTTGAGATCTAAGGAAATGTATGTGGATGCAAAGAAACCATCTAATGGCAGCAACCTGAACTGAAGGAACAGGGAGGAAACTTCTCAGTAAGACTCAGAAAACAATCCAAACATACAAAGTGATCCTGGAGGGTAGAAGACAAAAAGGTCAAACATTACTCTAAAAATAAAACTAAATAAACAACAACAACAAAAATCCCACCAAATAGAACATACCCTAAAGAAAAGTAGGCATTATTGGGATACCTGATATATCTGTCCATGCTGGCAGCATAGAAAGACTAAATCTTTTCATGTGTTTTCCATTAGGAACTCCAACCTCTAGTAGCTGCCACAGGACACATATTTTCAGCAGACATGCTCCCAGTGAATCATCACTGTCCACTTAGCAGGCTGTCCAATTAACTTTCTCCATATTATGATTTAATTCAAAGCATCAATTCAATAAATTACATTTACTTTGTTATATTATATATTATATGTTATATTATATGACATATATACTATATTTTCTTTGTTAAAAGACTCAGAGTGAAGTACTATCTTTTTTCTTTATCTCAAATTTACCTATTTTTTTTAGTAGAGCAGTAAATAATTGTCTCTACTAGTCTGCTAATCTCACATTTTATTTTTTTTATTTTTTTATTTTTTTTAAATTTTTTATTGTGGGTTGTTCAAAACATTACAAATTTCTTGACGTATCATATTCCACACTTTGATTCAAGTGGGTTATGAACTCCCACCTTCACCCCATACACAGATTGCAGAATCACATCAGTTACACATCCATTGATTTACAAATTGCCATACTAGTGTCTGTTGTGCTCCGCTGCCTTTCCCATCCTCCACCCTCCCCCCTCCCCACCTCTCCCCTCCCCTCCCCTCCTCTCTCTCTACCTCCTCCACTGTATAACCCTGAGGGTCTCCTTCCATTACCATGCAATTTCCCTTCTCTCTCCCTTTCCCTCCCACCTCTCATCCCTGTTAAATGTTAATCTTCTTCTCCTGCTCTTCGTCCCTACTCTGTTCTTAGTTACTCTCCTTATATCAAAGAAGACATTTGGCATTTGTTTTTTAGGGATTGGCTAGCTTCACTTAGCATAATCTGCTCTAATGCCATCCATTTCCCTGTAAATTCTATGATTTTGTCATTTTTTAATGCAGAGTAATACTCCATTGTGTATAAATGCCACTTTTTTTTTATCCATTGAAGGGCATCTAGGTTGGTTCCACAGTCTTGCTATTGTGAACTGTGCTGCTATGAACATCGATGTAGCAGTGTCCCTGTAGCATGCTCTTTTTAGGTCTTTAGGGAATAGACCAAGAAGGGGAATAGCTGGGTCAAATGGTGGCTCCATTCCCAGCTTTCCAAGAAATCTCCATACTGCTTTCCAAATTGGCTGCACCAATCTGCAGTCCCACCAGCAATGTACAAGTGTACCCTTTTCCCCACATCCTCGCCAGCACTTGTTGTTGTTTGACTTCCTAATGGCTGCCAATCTTACTGGAGTGAGATGGTATCTTAGGGTGGTTTTGATTTGCATTTCTCTGACAGCTAGAGATGTTGAGCATTTTTTCATGTACTTGTTGATTGACTGTATGTCCTCCTCTGAGAAGTGTCTGTTCAGGTCCTTGGACCATTTGTTGATTGGGTTGTTTGTTCTCTTATTGTCTAATTTTTGGAGTTCTTTGTATACTCTGGATATTAGGGCTCTATCTGAAGTGTGAGGAGTAAAGATTTGTTCCCAGGGTGTAGGCTCCCTATTTACCTCTCTTATTGTTTCTTTTGCTGAGAAAAAACTTTTTAGTTTGAGTAAGTCCCATTTGTTGATTCTAGTTATTAACTTTTGTGCTATGGGTGTCCTATTGAGGAATTTGGAGCCCGACCCCACCGACTGTAGATCGTAGCCAACTTTTTCTTCTATCAGACGGCGTGTCTCTGATTTGATATCAAGCTCCTTGATCCATTTTGAATTCACTTTTGTGCATGGCGAGAGAAAGGGATTCAGTTTCATTTTGTTGCATATGGATTTCCAGTTTTCCCAGCACCATTTGTTGAAGATGCTATCCTTCCTCCACTGCATGCATTTAGCCCCTTTATCAAATATAAGATAGTTGTAGTTTTGTGGATTGGTTTCTGTGTCCTCTATCCTGTACCATTGGTCCACCCGCCTGTTTTGGTACCAGTACCATGCTGTTTTTGTTACTATTGCTCTGTAGTACAGTTTGAAGTCTGGTATCGCTATACCGCCTGATTCACACTTCTTGCTTAGCATTGTTTTTGCTATTCTGGGTCTTTTATTTTTCCATATGAATTTCATGATTGCTTTCTCTATTTCTACAAGAGCTGCCGTTGGGATTTTGATTGCCATTGCATTAAACCTATAGAGAACTTTTGGTAATATCGCCATTTTGATGATGTTAGTTCTGCCT